AAGTCATACAATCAGTTAATCATTAGCTGGGGATACTTAACCCATAGAAACCTTTTAAAATTACTTAAAAGGGGCATTTTAAATGCCAAGATTTCATTAGCAAGCTTTGGATGATAGCCAGGAGGGACAGAAAGAACATTAGACTGAGACCAGTACCTTCCCCTTACCCCTTAAGAGCTGTGTGGCCTTGGACTAGTTATTTTCCTCAGAGCCTCATTTGCCTGTTATAAAATGGGCATAATAACACTGGCTTCACCTAGTTCCCAGAGTTGCTGTAAGGATCAACCGATGTAATGTATCTATTATTTACTTTCCATGTGACGTTGGTCTAATTACTGAACTTCCAAGGACTTTTATTTCCTCAGCTATAATGGGGGTTAGGAAGGGAAAGGAAAGGGAATAAGCATTTATTAATCACCTACTATGTACCAGGCTTTTGCTCAGCACTTTACAAATATTGTCTCATTTGGTCCTTACAATAACCTTCCATGTGTTTTTATTATCCCAATTTTGCAGTTGAGGAAGTTGAGTTAGATAGAAGTTAAAGTGACTTGCCCAAGGTCATGTAGCTCATAAAGGTCTGAGGCCAGATGGGAACTCAAGTCTTCTAGACTATAGGCTCAGTGTTCTCTCTAGTGTGCCCCCTTGTTGCCATATAAAATGAAGGGTTGAACCAGATGCCCTTTAATTTAATTTAAATTTAATTTAATTTAAATTAAGGTTCCAGCTCTAAATCTCTGAACCTTTGTAAAAGTACTTTGTACCTGTAAAGAACCACACATACATAAGACGTCACCTTATGCTGGTATTAGATTATTCAGGTAATTGATGAGTGCTGTCTGAATGGTTGCTCACCCCTCTGATGTGAAGTTCATTGCTAAGATGACTCCCAAACTGTGACAATGCCCAGACGATCTGTTTAGTTGCACTGTGTAACTGCCTACCAAACATTCCCAATGTCCAGCTGTCACAAAGGAAGACTAGCCAAATAATGGCTGAGTCTCATCAAAGAGGGATTGGAAACAATAAAGTCAACTTTATCCTTTCTTTGTACAGAACCCTGGCATTGTCATACCTGGAAATCTGCTTGCACTGTATTCACAGAACTGAAAAGAATGAGGGTCCTTTGGAGGACAATTAACATGAGCAAAGGGATGGAGGGGAGGGGGAGGCTGTGATGTTGAGAGCTGATATCTGTAGAGCATTTTGCTATTTAGAAAGTGTCATCGGCAGTATCCCCATTTCATAGCTTCAGACCACTGATGATGCAGAAAGGTTAAGCTGCTTGCCAGGGGTCTTGTGGCTACTAAGTGTCAGATCTGGGCCTTGATCTTTCCATCATACCATGCTTCTTCTATGTAAAAACTGAACGAAGAAGACTAGAATTCAAAGTCTTTCTTGATATAGACTTGTTCCTAAATCGTTGACAAACTCAACCAGATGTTACTTTTTTAATGAAAGCTTTAAAGAAAAGGAAAGGCTTGGCTCAGAAAATAGTGGGTTCCTGTTCTCTACAAGTCTGCAGTCAAAGGCTCAATGACCAACAATTGGGTGTGTCATAACAAAGCATTCTTGTTCAGGCTAAATGGTTTCATAGGTCTTTTCCAATGCTAAGATTCCATGATTCATTAAGGACAATATACATATCTACATACCTGTCTATATACATACCCACGAATACAGAGACATCTTGGAAATTCACAGTTGGAAGGGACCATGGATGTCATCTAGTCATCTAGCCATGACTGAAAAAGTATCCCCTTTACCACAGTCCTGACAAATGTCCATTGCCGCCTGAGGCAGATCATGCCACTTAGGGACAGCTTTAATTGTTAGCAAGTTTTTCCTGCTAGCTAGCTAAAATCTGTTTCCCAGCAATTTCTTCCTGGGTCAAGCAGAGCAAATCTAACATTTTGCTGACATGGCAGCCCTTCAACTACCAAAAGACAGTTCTTGTGTCCCCACTATGTCTTTAGTTCTTTAGGATAAACATTCCTACTTCGTTCCACTAATTCCTATAGTTGAAGACTGAAGATGCTGGTCTTTACACCATACTGGTTATCATCTTCTGAATGTACTTCCTCTAAAACATGGTGTCTTCCTAAACTGTGGTGCCCAGAATCAAATACAGGCAGGAGAGAGCTGGCCTGGTTATTCTCCTTTTCTTAATGTCACCTAGGAGAGCATTCAGTTTTTTTTGGCTATCATGTCACATGCTTCTGACTCATAATAGCTGCATAAGTTATTTAACCTCTCAGTGCCTAGGAAACGTGGTGCATTGAATGAAAAAACATGCTGCATTGGAAGTCAGAAGACTTGGGTTCAAATCCTACCTCACTAACTGTATGACCTTAGGCAAGTAGCTGAACTTCTCATGGCTTCAGTTTTTCTTACCCTCAAAAAATGATTGAAGGGGTTAGGCTAGATGACCTTTGTTCCAAATTAACATCAGCTTGAAAATTACAGAAGATTTGTTCATCTGCATCAGTGGAGGGAGTATACCAATTGGGATACACTAATGAAACCTCAGGCCCTGACCTTCTCTCCCACCAAAAAAAGGCACATGACAATCATTATTGACAATGATATGGTGCTTTAAAGTTTTCAAAGCACTTTATATACATCATCCAAATTATTTCTTAGGATCATTGATTTAGGGCTGGAAGGAATGTTAGAGGCCATCTAATCCAATCTCTCTAGTATACAGGTAAGGAAACTAAGGGTAAGAGAAGTAAGTGACTTTCCCAGGGTATCTGAAGTATGACTCAAACTCAGGTCTTCCTGACTCCAAGGCCAGCCCTCTATCCACTGCACCACCTAGCTGCCATGTAGTATCCACAAATGTGGCTGTGTGTGTGTGTGTGTGTGTGTGTGTGTGTGTGTACATATCTATACAAATCTATATTCAGGCCCAGGCAAGTTTGAGAATGGGAGTTTAAGGAGAGTGGAGGGAATAAGCATTTTTTTTTATGGCACCTACTATGTGTCAGACTATCTTATTTGACCCTCAAAACAACTCTGTGAGGTAGATGCTATTATTATCCTCATTTTACAGTTGAGGAAACTGAGGCAAAGAGAGGTTAAGTGACTTGCCCAGAGTCACACAGCTGGAAAGTATCTGAGTGTGGTTGTACTTGTAAAGGGCCACACATGTATACGATGTCATTATTACCCTATGCTAGAAGAACATTTACACCCATTGTTTTAGGTTGCCCAGGTAATGGATCAGTTTTGACTGAATAGTTCCCTTGCCCCACTCAGATGTGTAGAAGTTCATTGTTAAGATGATTCCCAAGCTGTGACAATACCCAAATGATCTGTCAGGTCTTCCTGACTCCAGGCCCAGTTCTCTGTCTACTGTATCCTCTGGCTAACCTTGAAGGACATTGAATGACTTCCTGGAAAACCAAGAATCATCTAAGGGTGGGATATACCAATATCAGCATCATAGTACAAACTAGATTAGGCACCAGACCATATCATCCAGTGTCCTAATAAATTCACTGCTTTCCCCAATTCTCTTCTACTTCATCTCTAGCAAGAAATGTATACATATTCACTGACATGTAACTAGAGTCCCCTACATGCACACAGATACATCTACCCACACTGACCCACAGATGTATACATTCATTCATGGGCATGGACATGTGTATATGTACATACCCCAACATAACTTGTTCTAGGTACAAAAGTCCAATGGTAAACCCCACCTGAGAGTAATCTGGACCTCACAGGTCTAGTGCAGGTTAAGCCTGCATGGTTGAGCCTAGGGCTGATTCAGATAGACCCATCCACGCTCAGAGGGGAGGAGCAGTCTGTCCCTGTTAAATTATACCACAGCTAGTCAGTGAAAGTGTAGAAAAAAATGACACGAGCCAGAATATTTTTTTTGGATAATTTTTTTTCATCTCTTTAGAAAAAAAATATGTACAAAAAAAGCTAAGAGCCAACATGGAGGTGTCAGGTAAACATTCCAAGAGGTACAGATGAGTGACTCCTCTTAAAGGAGACACTTTAGTTATCACCATGCTAGAAAAATGGGATGGAGTGAAAAATCCTAGTACAATGAAAAGCCACAAAGTGAAGCCATTGCTCAGATTCCATCTGTTGTCGATGATCTAATTTCTTCCCTTTAAAATAATACTGTGCAAACTGTAAAATATTCATTTATCATATAAAGTCCATAGAGTATGATTTACAAAACTGGCATTGAAGAGGAGGCTTGGTGCTGGTTATTCGGGAGACATGGTAGAGCATTACAGGCGGGGTCCTCCCCGAGGATGCTGCCGTGGAAAAGTTTTCTCAGTTTCTGAGCTGTCAAAGAAGGAATCTAATGGTACGAGAGAGAATCCAGGATTCTCAGCAAAGGGCTTGGGAGAGCCCAGGGACTCCACTGAGAATGGCAGATGTGGTATTTTTACTGTAGAATACCGCAGTCAGGCATACCAATTGGTGCAGGTACATTAGAGGGTCAGAATGGGGTGCATCTTCCGGTGTGACATCCTTTTCTTTACGATTCTTGGTTTCCCATTAACTAACACGGGCCTCCCTGCAAACTCAGAAAACACGATTGGCTTCTCGTGGAGACAACTAGTCTGTAAGCAGCAGCAACTGCGGTAACTGAAGGTAAGAATGAGTTGTTAGGGGAAATTTATTTCAATGTCTATAAAACTGAGAAAAGTAGGCCTGTGTACAAATATCACAAAACAACATCAACCATTCAATAGCTGTGGTTCTTCAGTGGACACTTGAACAAGGGAAAAAAATGTTGGTTTTAAAATTCTGGCATAAATATGTTAAAGCTGCCAAAAAAAAAAAAAAATCAGGGTTAGCTACATCACTTCCTCATACAAAAAAAATGTACAAAACATCAGCTTCTAACTAGACATAACATAATACTTGTCTTCACAGTCTGACATTTAGTAACTGTGTGTCTTGGAGTATTGAACTGTAGGGTAATCAAAAAAAAAAACCAGCTTCTGGCACCGTCGTCCACCTCAAGTAACTTCAGTCATGGAGGCCGAGTGATTCTGGGGAGCAAACACAAATATGTGGGCACCTGAACATCGGGTTGTCTCATTCCCCTTCTGCCCCCCGTCACCCCCCCACTCCAATCCAATTGGCTTTTATGCTGTTCTCCAAACATGTTCCACACTTGTCTGTCTCTGAGTCTTTGCTCATGATGTTTCCTCACTCCCAAATGCCTTTTCTTGTTTTTGCTGTGGACATCTTAGTCATGTTTAAAGCCACCTCCGCTAGGAAGTCCTACCTGACTCCTGACCTTGCAACCAGAGGAGGACATAATCCCTCCTTGCTCTGAACCTCCATAGCACTTTGTTACTATCCCTGTAATAATCATAACAAGGATATAACATTTCTATAGCATTTTAAGATGTCTAAAGCACTTCATTATCAATATTATTATTGTTGTGATTCTGTATTCTTATATATATATGTAATGTGTGTGTATATCTATACATATATAAAATAAATATACATACAAATATATATGTGTATATATGTGTGTGTGTGTGTATATACATACATACATACATACATATATATATCCTTTACTAGACTATAAATCCCTTGAGGTCAAAGACTACATCTCACTCATCTTTTTATCCCTCACAGCATCTAGCATTGAGCCTTCACATAACAGGAAATGGTGGGATAGGCCAGAGACTCCACTGAGAATGGCAGGTGTGATATTCTCAGTGTAGAATAGGGCAATATTTTTCATTTTTCATTTCATTTCAATTTAAAGAGTGACTTAACATAATAGGATGAATGAATGAATGAATCTTTAAAATGAATGAATCAATCTGTCCTAGAAGGCAAGAGAACATTTACCCCATGGTTTGTATAATATCCCTTTTAGTTTGCATGCCTTTCATTAGGGGCAAGAAGGGAGAAAGGTGGTATAACAACTGCCTGGTATCTGAGGAAATTTTGTCTGCTGGCTTTGATATCAAAGAGATTTGCCTAACCCACAGAGAGAAACTCTTTTCTAACTTGGAGAATGAGATCATAGGACCCAAAATGTGCACATCAAGGCAAACTACATCACTTCCTCATCTCAAATATGTATAGCACATCAGTATATACGTAGGTGCAATATAATATCTGTTTTCACAGATTGACAAGTAATGGTATATCTTGAATTATTGAGCAGAAAGTGAATAAAATCTTGTAGCAAATGGGGTTGGGGGGGCTATTGCTTTATCAAGAATCCCAATGAAACATGATTTAGTCATATTAAAGATCCATGAATTTTGGGACTGTTGGCAAGAAAACCAGTATGTTGCCTTTTATTTAAAAAAGAGAACATTTAGCTTTCTGATATTCCTGGGAATATATTCCGTGGAAATGTCCATGAAGAAGAAACTTAACTCCTTGAAATTAGGTCATGAATGAGATAAACTAACCCCACCCTCCCCCCATGCCTCTGACCTCTCAGCACTTGACATATTGGCAGTGTGAGTTTTTCAACCTGAGTTTCTTGTCAGTTTGGGCGCTGGGATAATCACAATAAAAAGAGCACTGGCCTGGCTGGCAAGAAACCTTGGCACTTGTCTTAGATGATGTCCTAACCCGATGGATGACTTTTTCAAGTCACAATTTCTCTGGATCTCAATTTTCCTCATCTGTAAATATTAATATAATGTTTTGGATCCTTATGGTCCAGTTCAGCTCTGACAATCTATGACTATGGCCCCTAAAATAATAAAAACTCAGAACTGAAAGGAACTAAAGAGGATATTGAATCCAGTGCCACAGCTGGGCAGGAATTCCCTCCAAATCCCCAATGAGTCTTGCTTCAGGTAAAGATTTCCAGTGACACGGAACCCACTGACTCCTGAGGCAGCTCATGTCATTTGGAGACCTTTGGATGTTAGGGAATTTTCCCTAGCTGCAATCTGCCCCTTTTAAACTTCACACTGTAGAAACAGCCTGACAACCCTAAAGCCAGAAAGCCTCCAGAACTGATGGAGTGCTTGGGTGCTTGGGTGCTTGTACTCGGACACCACTTCTAAGATCATATTTCTTTCGACTGCTGGTCCTGGAGGCAGAAAGACATGAGTTCAAATCTCAGACTTCAGTGGACATGAAGAGCAGAATTACATAAGGCAAGAGGAGTTCTCTAAGATTCCCAGAGATATAATCCTGCCATTACACTTGGGCTATCTAAACTATAGATAATTTATTCTGTTGTATTTTGTAGAGGAAATGTATAAGACCTGTGTGTTGTGAGTTATGGGGAGCATCTCCCCAGAAATAATAGCCTTAGAGGTCAAAGAAAAGTAACCTGGTCTGGTTCCATCTCACCTGGGGATGCACCTAGACATTCTAATGAGATTAACTAGATAACTCCTACCCCACTAAGATAGTCTGAGATTAACTACAGAGGAAACACTCTGACCAGGAACAGACCTGATCTTGAGATTATCCCACAGTTCAGACATCCTCCTTACCCCGCAACCCTCATCTCCAGGGGAAAAAAAAAATCATCGGACAGCCTGTCTCCATTACTTAACTTCTGAAATAAGGAAAGTGGCCAGGTAGCCTAACCTGATAGGCTCCTGTTGCCTCCTGCCCTAAAGCTGTTCAAAACCCTACACCGTGTATGTTTGTAATCCTTCAGTTTTGCCGAGTTGCTAGCTACATGACTGCCCATCAGCTGAAGCTAATAAAAATTCTTATCTTCCAGCCTTCTCACTTGCTTTATTGACCTCCAGTCAAATGGACCTAGGTGGGAGGAATTACAAATGCAGGTTGGCACTTTCTCTGTTGTATTAGTAGAGAGTTAATTCAGAGAGGGAAAGTGACTTGCTCGGGTCGCGGGACAAGCTAATCGCCAGGAAATATCATCATGGAGATCATGGAGATTGCTTTAGATTTGCTCCTTACACCTCATCTATACCTCATCAGTTGCTTCTGCTTCTCTGATTGGAAGACTGGAGGGCTCTCTTTATAGAGGACTCAAAATACTATCCTTCTCTTCATTTGCCACCAGCTGCTCTGCTTGGTGTGGACTCCACCATCTCCATTTTCTAACCCCGCCTGCGGCACACCTCCGCTTTCAGCTTCCTTTTGTGTATTGTCTTCCCCAATCAGGTTTTAAATTTCTTGAGGGTAGGAGCTGCCTTTTTTTTACTTAGTTGTATCCCCGGCACTTGGCATAGTGCCTAGCATAGTAGATTTTTAATAAGTGTGTATCATATCAGGTTCAAATAGCGAGTACGTATTAGAGGCAGAACTATAATCCAGGACTTCCTGGCTTTGAGGATGACTTTTCCCCACTACACCACACTGCCTCTTCTGCATATTAGTGAAGATTGTTAAATTCTAAAATGGATAGCCAAAGGAAATTGTAAAAAATTGCTTTCTTGGGGGCTTTAAAACATAATAAGACTCTCATCTGTCAGGATGAACTTAGTATAGTCCTGTTCATAGATATTGGGGAAATCAGGTGACCTTCTAAGGCCCCCATTTTCCCAATGATTCTTCGGTACTCATCCTTGCCTTAAGTATCTGCACAAGTCCATCTGTGTAGCTGATGGGTAGGTTTCACAATACCTGTGCACTCAGGGTCTCCAGAGGACTTTCTACTCTGGGGAAGGCCATTAGGGGCATTTCTCGGGGATCCTCAGGTTTGGGTTTAGAAGGAGAGCCACGTGTTCCTTTGAAATTATGTACAACACACATTCCCTGTAGGATGAGAAAAGAAAAGTTAGTGAAAGAATGCAACCATTACTGCCAATACCATTTCTGAGGGCATTAGGTCTTTTGAAGACCATGACCATAGTAAAAGTCCTTGAAGATAGCTGAGTTGTCTCCTTTTCCTGCATTTCCCACAGTGATTAATCCAAGTCCTAAACCCTCTGTAAAAAGTTGTATAATGATTCAGCTATTCCAGCATCACCATAATATTTGGTTTTTAAGAAGCCTGCTTTGAATTTGCCAGATTCAAAAAAGTATCATCATCATCTTCTTGTCTCCCATTCTATTGAAAACTTTCCTCCAGTTCTTCATAACTAGTTGTCTCTGTTCTTTTTTAGAAAACAGATTTTTATTGGTATCTTTTATTTTTATATCACTTACAGTTCCCAATATAGCCCTACAACTGTCCCCTCTTCCCAGATATCTATTTATTTATGATGCTTAGGTCACAGTTGTCTCTTCCTGGGCCTCTCTCTCTCTGTCTCTGTGTCTCTCTTTTTCTCTCTCTCTGTCTCTGTCTCTGTCTCTATCTCTCTCTCTGTCTCTCTCTGTCTCTCTCTGTCTCTCTCTGTCTCTCTCTCTCTCTCACACACACACACACACACACAATTTGTCTGTATCTCTTTCCAATTTGTTATCTAACTCTCTCAATGCCGTGTTTCTGTCTTTGTCCCATATTTCACCCAAATTTACCCACCAGGATTCTCCCTATGCAGAACACATAAGCAATAAATATCCTTTTCCCCTATGCCCCTACCATGGAAGTTATTTCTCACTTCCTTTTCTTCAGTCTCTGCTGTCTATGATGTTTTTGTTTTTATTTTACAAACAGTGAAGTGAAATGCTACCAACTCCTCAGAAAGCTTTCTGAATCCCTGCTTTTGCTATATTCTCTCTGCTCAGTTATCCCCTCTGAGCCTTGGTACTATGCCACATCTCTCATAAAACAAAAGAAAACGTCAGTCTGGAATACTACACCAAAGCCAGACTTCATCATGATAGGACCTAGAAAGGAAGAGGCCCCAACCATGTTACCTGGGGCTAGCGGATTTAGACCTATGGCTCCCCTAATTCTAGTGACTGTGCAAATGAATTTTCTATTGGACAGGATACAGATATTGTCAGTCTCCTTTTTAAAAGCACTTAGTACAGTGCTTGGCACATAGTAGGTGCTTAATAAATGTTAATTGATGTTAAAGGCCTGAGCAAACTTTGTATAGTGGAAGGAGTATTAAACTTGGTGCTGAGAGGAATTTTGGTTCAAATCTTGCCTGTGACAAGACAGTTAGGTGGCTCAGTGGACAGAGAAAAGAGCCTGGAGTTAGGAAGACCTGAGTTAAAATTCAGACTTAGACTAGCTGTGTGACGCTGGGCGAGTTACTTAACCTTTGTTCACCTTAATCCACTGGAGAAGAAAATGGCAAAACACTCCAGTATCTTTGCAAAGCAAACCCTTTGCAAAGAAAAGACTTACCAGGAACAGGGCCACAGCTGTGCCCAGAATGAAGCCTGCAATCACATCTGAGCAGTGGTTCCGATACTCAGAGATTCGGTTCAGGCCTGTGAGGAATGCTGTGCAGAGGGTTCCCAGGCACAAGACGGGTTTTGCCAGTCTACTGCTTTTTGTTTTGATGGTGCTTGTGATGTACATCTGGAACACAGAAAAATCCAAGGTAGCACCTTTCAGTAGGCAGACTCTTAGTTGTCTCCAAACACCTATATAGGCCCATGCAGAATCTACAAAGCTGTGAGTGAAATCTGCATAAACCAACCACACCAGCCTGGGCAAAATCCAGCCAGGTGAGAAGGAAGTCTATACTGCAAACTCCTGCTGGATAGACAAAAGTAGAGGACATGTTCGACTAAATGACTTTATCTGTCCTTCTGTTCTTCCACTTTTTTCCTAAATACAGTTTCACAAACCTCCCCCCCCCACGACTTAGTAGTATTTTATTTTTTCCAATTACATGTAAAGATAGTTTTCAACATCCACTTTTGTAAGATTTTGAGTTCCAAATTTTTTCTCCTCCCTCCCTTTTCCCTTTCCCTCTCTTTTCCCCAAGACGGCAAGCAATCTGATATAGACTATACACATACAATCATATTAAAAATGCTTCAACATTAGTCATGTTGTGAAAGAAGAATCAGAATAAAAAAGAAAAGCCACAGGAAAGAAAAAAAACAATGAAAAAAGAGAAAATAGTGTGCTTTGATCTGCATTCAGACTCCAAAGTTCTTTCTCTGGATGGAGATAGCATTTTCCATCCACATACCTCTTTTTTATGAACTTGGGGTAAGAACACAGTACTACAAGAGCCACTGATAGATTCACATCAATGATGGTACATGGAAATGTAGTTGGAATATGAGTTCATGGAACAATGACATAAAATGTCTGGGTTTTGGTCAGCTAGGGTTCTACCTCTGTGGGAAATACCTTCACCAACACAGGTCTACAACACACTTATAACTCAGTAGAGACAGGAAGTTGCCTGAGGCTCAGAAAAGTTCATTGATTTTCTCTTGGTTGTATAGCTAATAAGCGTTAGAAGTAGAATTTAAACTAAGTTCTTCCTGGCTTTAAGCCAGGGGTTCTTAACCTGGAATCTGTGAACCTGTTTTTTTAAAAAAAATATTTTGCTAACTGTATTTCAAGATACTTGATTTCCTTTGTAATCCTATGTTCATGTTTTTTTATACATTTAGAAGATTATTCTGAGAAGTTAGGTGGTGAAGTGGATAGAGTGCTGGCCCTGAAGTCAGGAACTTCTAATCTGACCTCAGACACTTACTAGAAGTTAGTGAAAGATTGCAATCATTACCTCCAATACCATTTCTGAGAGCTTCAGGGCCTTTGAAGACCACGACCATAGTAAAGGTCCTTGAAGATAACTGAGTCTTCTCCTTTTCCTGCATTTCCCACAATAATTAGTCCAAGTCCTAAACACATTCTAACATCATCATAATATTTGGTTTTTAAGAAGCCTGCTTCGAATTTGCTAGATTCAAAAAAGTATCATCATCATCTTTTTGTCTTCTATTCTCTTGAAAATTCACCTTCCTGAGTCCCTAATCTGGCCTCAGACACTTACTTGTCCAGACCCTGGACAAGTTACTTAACCCTGTTTGCCTCAGTTTCCTCATCTGTAAAATGAGCTGGAGAAGGAAATGGACAACCATTCCAGCATCTTTGCCAAGAAAACCCCAAATGGGGTCACGAAGAGTTGGACGCAGCTGAAAACAACAATAACAACAAGAATTCTGAGATGAGGTCTATAGGCTTCACTATAGAGGGGGCTAGATAAGGTTAAGGATTCTTATTTTAAGTCCAAGATTCTCTCTAGGGTGTCAAATTTCCTTTAAAAACCTGCTGAAAATGAAAATCAGATGAGAAAATGCTCAAATCCTGCCTTTGGCACTAGCTCTCTGACCCTGAGACAAGTCCCATAATTTCTCCGAGACTGTTTTTTCATTTGTAAATGAAAGTATTGAACTAGATGGTCTTTTCCAGAACTGAATCCATGATCTTATGACCTAATTTATTACCAAATATAATATACTTTTTTTTGTCATGGATTAAAGTTTATCTAGGATTTCTCAGTCCCCAAACCTCTATTATAAATGTACTTCACAGAGGAAGAGGATTAGCAAAGGCATAGACTGTGTTCTTTCTCCTACCCCCAACTCAGGCACTATACCCCAGTGCTGAAATAGTAATAGTAAGTACTAGGTAAATACTTAATAATAAGTCAAGGAGAAAGTACTTTCAGCCACTAGTAATGTAGACCCAAGATCAATTTCCTTGAGGCTATTTCATTCTGTGACACTGGATAAAGCCACAATACTAATCTTTTATTTACCTAATAATAAACTTAATAACAATTCACACTTCTCTAGCACTGCAGGTTTGCCCAGTTCTTTCCTCACAATAGACCTGTGAGACAAGAGGTACAGATTAGGAAACTGAGGCAGAAAAGTTTATGCCTGGGGTAACACAGAGAGTAAGAGTCAGAGCTGGGCCTTGAAGGCTAATTTTCTGACTCTGAGATTGCTGCTCCCACTGTCTCCCACTGCAGAGTAATAAGAGTTCACATTTCTGTAGTATCTTTGGAAGTACCAGGTACTACACAACGGAAAGAGCACCAGGCTTGGGGTCAAGCCTCAGAAATGCCATTTTCTAGTGAGTAAGACCATTGAGGAAACCACGGAACCTCTTCAGACATCAGTTTCTTCATTTGTAAAATACAGTTGTGCTAACTACTTCACAGTTGTTGTGAGGATCCAATGAGAATATTGTGTGTAAAATACTATACACATGCAAGCACGGTTATTATTTTAAGTCATAAGTGGTGTATGGTTAGATCAGTAGGTGGCACCATAGTTCACTATGCGCAGGATCCAGCCCCAGACACTAGCTAGCTGTGTGGTCTTGAAAAAGCCTTCCCCCCATCTTTTCATTTCATTTCATTTCACTTTCATTTCATTTCAACATGTAATGTAAAATGTGCCTGTAAAATGGGATAATAATAGCATCTATCTCCCAGAGTTGTTGTGAGGATAAAATGGGATATTTGTAAGGTGCTTTGCACACCTTGAAGTGATATAGAAATGATAGTGATGATGATGACGATGATGGTGTTGATGATTACGAAAGTCTTTGTGGACCTCTTTTTAAAGCATACAAATTTATGATGTTTTAAGATCATAGGCATGAATGATCATAAAAAGTCACTAGAGGTCACTGTTCCCCAGGCAAAGAGTAATTGAATTAGGCAACTCAGGGAAATAACACTCTAAGTCTTTAAGATACATTCTATAGTCTGTTTACATGTGTGGTTCTCCTGCTGCGACCTGAAATTGCAGCAACTTGGGGTGGGGGTGTGTGTGGAACTACAGTCTGTTTTTCTTTTTTTCATTTGTATTTATACTATTTACAGCTGTGGCTTTCTCCTGTAACTCTGTGCAAGAATAAGAAATCAGGTTATAACATATTTGACTCTGTCAGCCTCTTTTTAACTGTTTACAGCTGTGGTCCAGATCTCCTACTGTCTTTCTCCTCTCTGTGTCTCTGTCTCTGTCTCTGTCTCTCTCTCTCTCTCTTAATCTCTCTCAGAAAATCTAAGACCTTCCTAATGAGGCTGGAGTTGTTTACCATATCTGTATCTAACAATTTGACAACATTGTAGTTGAAACAATACACTTTCCAAAACCTTGGTGAGAACATGGAAAGAGATTTAGTAAGGACAGATTTATGGTTGACAGACTCATTGTGCCTAAAACATTGCCTTGTACATGGTAGATGATCACTAAGTATTTGTTGATTGGCATATTGACCCTCTAGATGATGCAAAGATACAATGGGGGTGGGAGAAGGAATTTAATCAATTAAATAATTTATTAACATTAAGGTCTATAGCATTTTCTTTATTGTTACTGTTGTTATTTTGCAATATGCCAAATTGGCATAACTTATTTAAAAATTATGAAATATACCTATACACCAACTGCCAAATAGGAGAGAGATCCTACTTACCTGGACAGGTATCTTTAAGATCATAGATCATGCAATCGTAAGATTTATAACTGGAAAGGAAGAACCTTAGGGGTCATTAGGTGCAGCCCTCTCATTTTTACAGATGAGGAAACAGACACAGAGAGGTTGACTTGCCCAGGGTCACATAGCTAGTACGTGCCGAGGTAGGATTTGAATCCAGGTCTCTCTACTCCAGGTCTAGTGCCCTATCTACTCTACAGCTGTGGGCAGGCAGCATCTATTTTACAGTCAAGGCTATGGAGAGCTTTGGTCTTGGAGGGTCAGTGCTATTAGATGGTTTTTAACAATGGTGAAAGTATTTCTGTACATCCTTTTACCTCAGGGCAACTTTAAGCTGCACCCTATCCACTTTTCTAGTGTGTAGAATGGTGAACCAGAAGTGTGAGACTTTTTTTTTTTTTTTTTTGCTCCCAAGTTGCTGCAATTTCAGGTCAGAGCAGGAAGACCAAGAAGGGAAACACCATTTCTTTCTTTCCCAGTGGTTCTGTCACCCACTGGCTTCCTTTCTCTTCCTTTCTTTTGTATTTCACTGATGCCTTATGCATGAACATGAGACCTCTGAGAGGGTCGCAGCCATTTATCTAAACTTTGCATCTCCTTCTGTAGCCAGTGCAGTGATCTGCATGCACTTGGACACTTAATAAACATTTATCGTATTGATTATTCCATAAGCTACTTAAAGACAGGGATTTTTTCTTTTGTATCTCCAGAAGCTAACACTGTACCATGTACACAGTAGACACTCATTGTTTGCTGAATTTAATGGACAAGAGGGTAAAAATGATGGCATGTTCTCTCAGTTCCCTTATCCTCAAATTATTGAGGAGGGAGCAAAGGGGAGGAAAAAGGAAACTTGGATTTACCCCAAACCTACACTAGATATCACTACAGCAGTCACTCTACCATTGTCATTGCCACCTCTGGCCTTCCTGCAAAGAGGGGTGTGTTTGTAACCAATTCTGTCATTCAGAAGCTAAGGAAAAGCTTGCAGGAGTGGGGAACCTGCCTCTGGAGGCCACGTGTGACTGTGCTTGTGAATTCGGGGCTGCACTTGAGGACCTAGAGGATCACGTGTAGCCTGCAGACTGCAGGTTCCCCACCCCTACTTTAGAGTAAGAAAGAGAGGTATCATATTGTCTGTCCTAAGAATGAGCACTAGACCAGGAAGTGGGCATCTGGGGGTCTTAGCGCTGGCTCTGCCACTAACTTGCAATGTGATCTCTTTTCTCATCTGAAGGTTTTCACTGATTCCCCATGGTTATTACTGTTCTCTCTTCAAATTATTTTGCACTTACATATATTTGGATGTATTATCCTTTTATCCTACCTAATCATCCGATAGAACTATGTGATACTGGAAGAAGCATTCTATTTGCAATCTGGAAGACTTGGGTTCAAATCCTGCCTCCGACTTTTACTAGCTGCACTACCCTAGACAACTCATTTCATCTTTCTGAGTTTTAACTTTCCTCAGCTCTAACATGGAGAGAATAATGACGCCTGTTTCATAGGATTACTGCAAGGGTCCAGCACATAAAATACTTTGCAAACCTCAAAGCACTGTAGGGGTGTTAGTGATTCTTGTTAGTTTTAGAACATAAGTTCCTGGAGGTCCAGGAGTCTTTTCTTTGTACATTCAGTGCCTGGAACATGGCTTTTCACATAAAATGGGATTAATTGTGCTAATTGACTAATTGAATCTGTGAAGCGAGGGGGTTGTACTGAATGATCTTTCAGCCCCTTCAAATTCAAATTTTGGCTCTTTGGTTGATTCTCCAAAGGAGTCACAATATTTGAAGGATGAGAAAGGAGGTGTTAGGAGGCACAGCGATGAAGGTCCCAAAGATCCCAGGATGGTTCTGTCACTCACTCACCGTAACATACAGAGCTGAGTAAATGCTCAAAGCAGCGTGTTTGGAGGGAAAGGATCTCCGGGCCTTTTCAATCACTTCCAGGTCACCAGTGCAGATGTTCCCATTATTGATGAACTGCTGGTGAGTTCGGCAAGATGTGCTGGTGTAGTTGGGCTTACACACTGTGAGGAAGTAAGGTGCCAGGTTCCCGGTTACCACTTGGCCGGCATTTACAAATATGTCAGTAGCAAAAAGTCCAAAGGCAAACACCCCTGTAAAGAGGTTCAAAGAGGGGGGGAAGATAGTAAGTTAGTGTTACGGTAATGCATCTATCTCTAGAACGGAGAAAAACATTAAGGGCAGAAGTAGGAATTTCTCCTTCACAATTCTGGATATAATACTTAAAACATCAGCTAAAGGACGAACGTAGGGAGGTGATCTAACAAGATGGGAAAGGAGCATATGCCTTAAAATTGTAGAAATGAGAGGGCAGGGCTGGTCTTGCTCCCAGCTCCGTGGTGTGATTGGAGGAGCAATAGTTTTACCAGGGCTGTCCAAAAACATAAGTCCACTGATACTAAAAAGTCATTAGCAGTTCACCCCTTTCCTAAAGCATTATCCTTTGCAAATGCTTCTCAAGTGCAACTACACACAGGAAGAAGAGCGCCAAATCAGAACCATATAAATGCAACTAAAATTTTCAGATTCTAGTCTTTAAGTGATTTAAAGGCACAGCAGTCAAAGGGTGGGAAGAGAAAACTGAGCGACAACCACAGAGTGAAGCAGAAGGGGTTGGGGGATGCAGTAGGAGAACCACTCTGATTTCTTTACAGAAGGCTAACCTGGGTAGGCTTTCTGTGCCCACTCTATTTATCCACCCTTCAGTGGGGCTCCCTGGGAACTCCACTGAATATGCTCTTAGAGGAGGGCCAGCCAGTGGCATGCTGGTTAAATAAGCCCCCTTATCTTTGTATTCGATTGTGAAAGGTCACTAGACCTTGCACCCCATGATCACAAGACAGGCAATAGCCAAGCCAGAAATGAGCTTGCGTCAAGGAATGAAGATTAATCTACTTGGCATCTTTGTGTCTCAGCGTAAGTGGTTCCCCATAGTAGGGAAACAATCCTTTTTCACCTCTGCTTCATAGAATTCCCATCTTTTTTTAAAAGCTAAGCTTAGGGGCTCCCTCCTACAGGAAGCCTCTCCTGATTCACCTCCTTTCAGTCTTCTCTCCCTCTTGAAAGTGCTTTTGTGTATACTTGTATGTATTGACATGTATGCATGCCATATTCCTCCAGGAGAATGTTAGCTCTTTAAAGGCAGGGATTGTTAACCTTTTTTCTTTTCATATTTCAGCCCCTGGCATAGTACCTTGTAGGCCCTAGTTGCTTAATAAATGCTCATGGCATTGAATGAATATTGAAACTTTCGGAAGATGACAAAAGACTCCTAAGTCATTCCCATCTGGTTGGTCTTTTTTGTATTCACATTACTGAATCAAAGATTTGTTGTGAAACCTCTCAGGTCACAATCCAAACTGAAAAATGGAATGTTAGGGGCAGCTAGGTGGAGTAGTGGATAGAGTGCCAGGCCTGGAGTCAGAAAGACTTAACTTCCTGAGTTCAAATCTGGCCTCAGACACTTACTAGCTGTGTGACCCTGGGCAAGACACTTGACCCTGATTGCCTCAAAAAAAAAAAAAAAAAAGGGAATGCTCACTTCGACCCAATCAGCATGGTGCTTCTAACCAAACGAGATAGCAGGCCTTTATTCTCTGGAAAAGAGCTCTAGTGACCTATTTCCAACTTTTCATTGGGCATTTTTTTTAAACCAGTACTTCAAACTTAATATGGCTCAAACTGAACTTAGCATCTTTACTCCAAAATGCCCTCCTAACTTCCCTACTTCTGTCGATAACATTACCATTCTTTTAGTTAGTTAGGCTTATCACTTTATTAGCCTTTGATTCTTTTCTGACAATTCAACATTTAACCTGACAATTCAACCTTCTTGAGAGTGGGAATTGTTTTTTCCATGTTTCTCTATCCCTATCACCTAGCATAGTCTCTGGTACACAGTAGGTACTTAATACATGCTTGTTGATTGGTTGATTAAGCATTTTCTGTCGATTCCACTTCTCCAATACCTTTCATTAATTTCTCCCTTTACATTCCATTCTGTGTTCCATCTCATAGTCTAGTTTACGGTACATTTATTCATGTACACAGCATTGTGACAAGAATGCTAGATTCCTAATCAGGAAGACCTGGGTTCTAATTATATCTCTACTAGCTGTGTGACCCCCAGGCAAGTCCCTCCTCTCCAAAATGGAATGCTAATTGCAGGACACAGATGAAGTCTTATTTGTAAATTTCTTTGCAATCCTTGGAGTCTATATAAAAGTCAGCTGTTATTTTTACTCTCTCTGCTACTAGACTTAAACTGTGTAAGAGTAGGAACTGTGTCATTCATTTTTGTTTAACTAGTACCAAGTATAGTGCCTTATATCGTTCAGTTGCTTTCAGTCATGTCTGATTCTTCATGACCCCATTTGGGGTTTTCTTAGTGAAGATACTGGAGTGGTTTGCCATTTCCTTCTCCAGTTCATTTTACAAATGAGGAAACTGAGGCAAACAGGGTTAAGTGACTTGCTCAGGGTCACACAGCTGTCTGAAGCCAGATTTGAGCTTAGGAAATTGAATCTTCCTAATTTCAGGCCTTGCACTCTGTCCGCTTGTGCCACATAGCTGCCCTGCCTTGTATACAGGAATCAATTCACAGGTGTTTGTGGAGTTGAATATTTTTATGGTATTTCATTTTTGAGATTTTTCTTTTACATCAGCTGGACACTCAAATGACTAGTACAGGTGTACATTTTCCCACCCTGCCTGAGATACTTTGGTTACTTTTGCAAAAATGTATTACAGCCTTTGCGAAATTGCATTACTGCTTTCAGGCCATGATGGGGCTCTTCAGCTCTCCAAAATGCCTCCTTGACTACCAGGAAGCAGTTTGCCCACTGGAAGACTTAGGTACTTAGTAAATCCTTCAAAATCTTCCTCATTAGGAAGAATTCCCCTAAGTAAAAGCATTAGCAGTGCTGTACTGATGTTAGAGAAGTGGAAGAAGGAAAAGCCTACATTGTCAAGCAAGTCATGTAGCAAGCATTAGCCCATCTTTTTTTTCTTTTAAATATTTTTATTAAGTAAATACTACATATCAGAAGTTTACACGAGGAAGGCAGCAGAGACAGCAAGAAAGAAGTGACAGCCAATTATGTGATGGAGATGGAAAGGAGTCCTGGGTTATGGAATTAACCAGGAATGGAGGCCTACATGGACTAGAAGACAGGATATCCTCCAGTTAAGATCATGGCATCCTAGATTTGAGCTTTAAAAAAAATAAGCTAGTATAAAGAAAGTGCTTTGTGAACCTGAAAGAATTACCTACATATTAGTTATTAATGTTATTATTATTACTATTCTCTAGTTTACCCCATCATTGTACAGATGAGGAAATTGAGTCTCAGAGAATTGAAGTGAATTATCTAAGGTCACGTTTTACAGATGAGAAAACTGAATCTCAGAGAGGTGAAGTGAATGATTGAAGATCACATAGGTAGTGTAAGAAGTGGAATTTGGAGGTCTCTGATACTAGAAACAGTGCTATTTCCATTCCCTCAAGATCTTATGTTCTACTTGTCACACCTGCTCAATGATACCTCAGATTCCTTGGAGAAAGGACCTAACATTTTTTATTCCATCATTAGAGCTAAGATTTGAAATCCAAATATGAATGAGTAATACATTGGCTTAAATTTATGTCTGATAATCAAGGGAACCCTTGGTTTTCTGACTGGGATACTTTCTATAGAGCTGGACATGCATTTTACCTTCTTACTAAGGAATTTGCAATTTGTTGGAATGATATGGGAAGCTCCTAATGGGTTGCCAGTGACTAGAGCTATACTAAGACGATCGGCAACTGAGAGTAGGGAAGGATGGATTCTGTTGGAAGAAGGCACTTTCCCTATGATCTGTATGAGCTCTCTTCTCTTGTAAGACTCAGTTCTATCAATTTCTTTCCCTTGACCTTTCTGAGTTCAGAATTTGGGCATCAGTTGAGGAGGAGTATTTCTTTGACAGCACACATCTTGAAGGAGAAGACTAGTTAGCATCATTCTGTAACTGAAGGCCTAAAGAAAGCCATGTCCTAACTGGTCAGGAGATCCAGACCACATTAGTGGTTTAGACAGTGTCACTTTGAAGAGAACATGGAATTTGTTTAGCAATCTTACAAAGTCGCCTTTACCTTCTAGGAGGAGTATAGTGAGTATAAAGGGCTATTTGACTGTTTTATATTTTCTGTGTTTGTTAATTCATGAATGTGATCATGTCTTCGATATTCTATGCTGTTTTTTGTGATAGAAGAAATAAACAGCTACCCAATCAATAGCTGATGCCCCTATTTTATACTAAGTATTTTTTTAGGAGGTTATCCACACTTTGGGGAGATCCTAGATACATTTCCAATCTGAGCTTTGCATCAGAGATTTCCCTGGAGCTATTAAGGGTTGGGGTACATCCAAAGAGAGAGAAATTGACCCTTTGGAGTCAGTCATTCCAGGATGTAACCTATCTCTGCATGAGCTCAGAGCCCTTGTTGGGTAGTGGGGCACACTTATACTAAAGTGTAACTGACTGATAGATTCCTTTCATAAAGTAGGGGCAAAGAGTTAAGTATATAGAGAGGATATAGGAACATTGGGAATTAGAGAGTTAGAAGGAAGGAGTGCCATCAAGCAGAGGAAAGGACTAGAAAGGGGAAACTCAGGGACAAAAAGTAATTTTTGGACTCATAATTTTGCCTTGCTTTGGCTTTGACACCAGATGTGAGACTTATGAAAGAACACTGTTCTTTCAGGGTGTGAGGGGAAGTGAGGAGGTTAAAGGGCAACAGAAGTTGTGACATAAGGGTCCATTAAGTGCACCTCAATCTAATATCTGCAGTCTTCTAGTGAGATCTGGTGTGCTCCGGAGCTTCCCTCCTAGTTTAACCTGATCTAGTTACACATACATGATACGATTAGAGATTGCTGTAGGTGAGTGCAAAGTAAATGTGGCATTTGCAGTCAGAGGAATTGAGTTCCAATGTGGGCTCTGCAGTTTACTCCCCGAATGTGGCTTTGGGCAAGTTACTTACCCACTCTAGGCCTCAATTTCCTTACCTGTGAAGTGAAGGAGTCAGACTCTGTGAATAGGAGCATGAACT